AGTGGGTCCGTCTCCTCTATACCATGTTTCAGGGTAAATGCAATTAATTTCACGTGGATGCAGCAGAAGGCATTTATTTGAGTTTTTGGGGTTCCCAAACGTTTGGCTTTGTGAACCACTAAAATGAAGTGTCTGTGTTGCAACCCACTAGAGAAGAGCGGTGAAAAAACATGGACCAAATAATAAGTATAAAATAAAAACCCTCTGCTTCAGAACATCTAACTTTATAAAGATCTTAAGCTCTGGTCCGCTCTGGTCAGTTTTAAGGGGTTGACTGACACTCTATAATGCAATTATTTGTATGCCAAAAAATGTCAACCTACGACCCACCTGAACCCCTGCCACGACCCAATCCCAACCAATGATGTAGGCCTATATGCTAGGTCGAAAATATACAGTTTAAGACAACGTAATAATTCCATGCGAAACATTCAAAAAAATAAACAAATACATTGGACCAGCGCCGTTGCTAATTCTACAGGATTACCTTTTAAAACGTGATCAGCGGTCGGGACATCAAGCAATAAAGTGGCTGTAGATCATTTGAAAAACGTTTAATTGAATAGAATGACAGTAAAACAGTTATGCTATGTGTTTGCTGACTAGTTAGCTGAAATTCACTACGATTGTGTTAATTTTCCACTTTTTACCCCTTTTCCATGATATCCTATTGGTAGTTACAGTCTTGTCCCATCGCTGCAACTCCCGTACAGACTCAGGAGAGGTGAAGGTCGAGAGCCATGCATCCTCCGAAACACGACCCCGCCAAGCCGCACTGCTTCTTGACACACTGCTTGCTTAACCTGGAAACCAGCCGCACCAATGTGTCAGAGGAAACACCGTACAGTTGGCGACCAAAGTCAGCGTGCATGCGCCCGGCCGTCACAAGGAGTCGCTAGAGCACAAGGACATCCCAGCCGGCCAAACCCTCCCCTAACCTGATGCTGGGCCAATTGTGCGCCGCCTCACGGGTCTCCCAGTCGCGGCCGGCTGCGATACAGCCCGGGATCGAACCCAGACTTGTAGTGACGCCTCTAACACTGCGATGCAGTGCCTTAGACCGCTGCGCCACTCGGGAGGCATAATTTTCCACTTTGATGGCAAGCTTTCTGTACTGCTAACATTCACTTTCACTAATTTTTGCTTGCATTGCTGGTCCAATGAATGTGTTTATTTTCTAACGCTCCAGCATGGAATTATTACGTTGTCTTTACCTGTATATTTTCGACCTAGCCTATATGGTGCGTTCAAGTCCAAAGTCAAGTTTCTACAGCCACAAAGTCAAAATTGGCTACAAAAATTAGCTTTTTGGTCTTAATTTAAAGTCAGGGTTATGCATTAGGTTAGCAGTGTGGTTAAGGTTAGGGTTAGGTTTCAAATCAGATTTTAAGAAGACAAATTGGCGGGGTTTAGCCATAATTAGTGTCCCCTGTAGCTCAGTTGGTAGAGCATGGCACTTGCAGCGCCAGGGTTGTGGGTTCGTTTCCCACGGGGGCCAGTATGAAAATATATGCACTCACTAACTGTAAGTCGCTCTGGATAAGAGCGTCTGCTAAATGACTAAAATATAAAATAATTATGACTTTGTGGCTGTGTTAATCCTACTTTTGCCGTAGCGTGATTACAAAAAAGAGGTTGCCAGGATCAGAGTAGTACCAAAGATTTTTATAACTAAACAGTCTGTCGTTTCCAATGGGAACAAATTAGTCATAGTGGGCAGAACAAGCCAGGAGGTGGGCAGAGCCAAGCACGAGCTAGCAAGATCCTATATACTTGGCGCCGACGAAGATGGCGGCCTCGCCACTAGCTCTTAGGAAACTTTGCGGTATTTTGTTTTTTTATGTATTATTTTTTACATTATTAGCTCAGAAAGTGTTTTTGTATCATTACATACAGCTGGAAAAAACTATTGGATATCAGAGCGGCGGTAACTCACCAGCATTACGACCAGGAATACGACTTTCCAGAAGCAGATCCTTTGTTTGCTCTCCCCAGGGCAATTGAACTGATTCCAGCGGCTGACCCAAAACATCGCCGGCGGAGGAGAGGCACTCGGAGCGGCCTGCTGGTTCGACTTAGGAAGCGCACACACCACCCACCGCTTCGAAGTATACTACTCGCTAATGTTCAGTCTTTGGATAACAAGGTCGACGAGCTCAGGGCAAGTATTTATTTCCAGAGATACATCAGGGCCTGTAACATACTTTGTTTCACGGAAACATGGCTCTCTGGGGATATTCTGTCGAAATCGGTCCAGCCAGATGGGTTCTCAGTTCATCGCGCAGAAATAAATAAATATATCTCCGGGAAGCAGAAGGGCAGAGGTGTGTGTTTCATGATTAACGACTCATGGTGTAATTGTAGTAACATACAGGAACTCAAGTCCTTTTGTTCACCCAACCTAGAATACCTCACAATCAAATGCTGACCGTATTATCTCCCAAGAGAATTTTCTTTGGTTATAGTCCGGCCGTGTATATCCCCCTCAAGCCGATACCACGACGGCCCTCAAAGAACTTCACTGGACTTTATGCAAACTGGAAACCACATATCCTGAGGCTGCATTTATTGTAGCTGGGGATTTTAACAAAGCAAATTTGAGGACTAGGCTGCCGAAGTTCTATCCACATATCGACTGTTGTACTCGGGCTGCTAAAATCCTCGACCATTGCTATTCGAACTTCCGGGATGGTTATAAGGCCCTCCCCCGCCCTCCTTTCGGCAAATCTGACCACGACTTCATTTTGCTCCTCCCTTCCTATAGGCAGAAACTCAAACAGGAAGTACCCGTGCTAAGGACTATTCAACGCTGGTCTGACCAATCGGAATCCACGCTTCAAGATTGTTTTGATCACGCGGACTGGGATATTTTCCGGGTAGCTTGCGAAAATAATTTAGATGAATACACTGAAACGGTGACTGAGTTTATCAGGAAGTGTAGAGGTGATGTTGTGCCCACTGTGACTATTAAAACCTACCCTAACCAGAAACCGTGGATAGATGGCAGCATTCACGCAAAACTGAAAGCGCGAACTACCGCATTTAACCATGGCAAGGTGACTGGGAATATGGCAGAATACAAACAGTGTAGCTACTCACTCCGCAAGGCAATTAAACTGGCAAAACATCAGTATAGAGACAAAGTGGAGTCACAATTCAACGGCTCAGACACGAGACGTATGTGGCAGGGTCTACAGACAAATTCTAGATTTGGGAACCAAAAACTGTATTGAGATCAAATGTTTCATCAATGAGAAAACTTGATGATATACATTTGCCTGTTGTCTTTTCTTTGTGGGTTTTTGTCTTACACAGTCTTGTCAGGGCGGCAGATATCCTAGCGGTTAAGAGTGTTGGGCCAGTAACCGAAAGGTTGCTGGTTCGAATCCCAGCGCTGACTATTAGAAAAATCTGCTGATGTGCCATTGAGCAAGGCACTTAACCTTAGTTCCTCCTTTAAGTCACTCTGGATAAGAGCGTCTGCTAAATGACTAAAATGTAAATATAATGTAAATGTCTCGCTCTACATCGGTCAGCTACATTGGTGACCAGGGTGGGATCCTTTTGATATGCCTTTTGGGCCTGGGCACACACATGCTCCTAGAGAGAAACATTTGTTGATGACAGTTCTACAGTCTCCATCAGAGGCCCAGGCTTTTTGCATAGATGGTAAAGCTCTCATTTCTGGACTGCAACATTGTAAGATTGTGCCCTCCAATGCACTTGATATACATTGATTTGTAGGTTACACTATATTTAGATACTTCAAATTCTGCCTGACACCTTTTCTATTTGTCTTACTCAATAAATGGTGAAACACTATTTCATGGTGTTCTTTGTTTGTATGTAATTTATATGTATGAAACAAGTCTCACACTCAGTCATAGCAGAATAATGAATGGATTGGCAAGATTTTCTTTAAAGGTTAGTAAGTTAATCATTTAAACCACCTAAATATACTCACATTCACTGAACATTTAGTATTTGAAACTCAAACATTCATTTCCCAACTGCTTTTTATATAATCCTACAGGCTCTTTATCATTCTCCATCTTATATTCCAATGCAGCCAACATTATGCATGCCCACCTTGGTATTGGGCAGCTGCTATTTGAGAACTCATCTGATTTTGAAATCAAACTGGTTATCTTTTTTATTGCTGAGCACAAGTAATGCTATATGTTTAGGCTATGCCATATGCTAATATGCATATGTCGTTTTTAAACCTCCATTCTAGCATTCATTACACATCTGTCTATCTACATTTACATTTTTACATTTGAGTCATTTAGCAGACATTTTACAGTTAGTGAATGCATATTTTTTTCATACATGCTTTTATTTGGGTTTCTATGCAAAATATATGATTGAATATTTATTTATGCCTGCAGCTAGTTACTTGAAATGAGAAATAACTAATCATGCCAAAACATGATTCAACAATTGAATTTACTGACAGAGATAGCTAATGAAACGCAAATTGACATTTAAAGTAGCTGGCTAGGCTAGTCTAACATTGGCTAGCTTTTCATAAATTGGCTAAATTGTCAACGGAGTTACGTCGTCATATAATCAAGACAATTCGTATTGAATGCGACATATTTCTAGTGCACTCGAAAACGAATATGTATCTTATTTCATTCTGCGAGCTAGCTAGCTAGCTTTATCTGTTCCTCTTCATTAGACAGCAGCTCGCGTTTTCACAAGAGGCTGTGTTTACGTCGTAGATAGAAGCAGGCCATTGGCTGCCTTCATCATGAGGGGTTGGTACGGGAGTTCTGATTGGTTCCAAGTTTAGTAGTTCGGCAAATTTGGCTGAGCGGCCGAGTGTTGAAATATACTTTTTATAAAACATAAATTGCAATAATAAGGTGCCAACATATTTTATAGTCCTAATATTTTAATGTCACACAAAAAATCAGCTCCTCCATTGACGGAGATCGATCGCGTTTTAAGGCTTCGGCCCACCACCCCGTGAATGGCCTCACACTCCAGTACAGTAGGTGGCGGTGTATGCACCTCACATTTGCGATCCGCCAATACTAGTTTAAAGAACAAGAATAACGTCCGTTTCCTCTAGTTCCATGTGGCTGTACTGAGATAAAAACTAACTACGCCTTGCCGTTAAAGTTGTACTATTTGGAGTTTTAAATAAAAAATTTAAACAATCGGAGAATTCACAACACTCGTGTGAGGAGCTAAAAATGCAGCACGACGATGTAAGTGAAGAGATACTAGCTAGCTAATGTCCGAGACACGATTGTGTCGACGCCACGCGCTAGCTAGCTACTTTTACTCCTGTACCTACAATATTGACTTGTGATTATGCATTCACATAGATGCTCCAACCTTTCAATGATTAGCAATAATACATAAAATGTCCGCTGGTTGATTGGTTTGCCAGCTAGCTTGATCAATGTGTATTCTGCCCATATACATAGCAAACAGGCAAAAGTTGCTAGCTGGGGCAATTCCAGGTTAATGGTGTGATGCTGAGACTCAGAATTTTCCCTTTAAAATGTATGTCTAACAAAAACCAATAATTGCAAAGTTAAACAAACCATACAACTGTATACACAAGGAATACTGTGAAAAATGTCCACTGAACATTTTGCAAAAATATATTTACTTGAAGAACAGGACAGATGCTAAGCTTGGTAACAGAATGACGGCACAAACGGCACATGTGCATTTTAAAGTGAAAATTCTGAGTCTAAGCATCACTGTTACTGTGGTATTGCCCCTAGCTAGATATTTGGCAGATGGTTTTGGAGAAAAGTGACCAGTTAACTAATCTAACACTTCATTTCTAGGTTATCTGGGATGTCATAGGAAACAGAGCATTCTGTTCCTTCAAAGTCAAGTAAGTTACCCACTGTTTTTGAGGTTTCATCTTTTCACAAGTGTGTGGATGTGGAACGCATTCAGAGCTTTTAACTCCAGCTCATTTGTTGTAGCTATCAAGAAAAGGTCATTGGTGGTAAACTTACAAAACTGTTTCTGTTGGTCTTTTAACAGGACAAAGGTTCAGAACTTCTGCCGGAATGAATACAATATAACTGGACTTTGTAATAGGTCATCCTGCCCACTAGCAAACAGTCAGTATGCAACTATAAGAGAGGAGAAAGGTAAGTTGTCTCCTGTGAAATAAGTATCACCAATGCAGTACTTGTTTTTAGTTGATAGGGGTATTGAGATTACAATACATGCTTTTGAAGAACTTGCTGCTGCCACCATGCAAATTGAGGTTTAATGTCTGCTGATTCTTTTCTTAGGTCAATGTTTCTTATATATGAAGGTTATTGAGAGGGCAGCCTTCCCTGCCCGAATGTGGGAGAAGGTAAGTGACAGTAGAACTAAATAACTGTCTGTTAATAGACATTGGTTTCTATTAGATGTATTTTCTTCAACTTCAACTTTGTCTCCTAGGTGAAACTTAGTAAGAACTATGAGAAGGCTCTGGAACAGATTGACCAGAACTTGATCTATTGGCCCCGTTTCATCAGACACAAATGTAAACAGCGCTTCACCAAGATCACACAGTACCTCATCCGTATCCGCAAGCTCACACTCAAACGACAGTAAGCATCCAACCCTTTCACACAATCCTAAACTGCGAAAATGAGTTAGGTATCCTTAAACATGTATAGTAAATCAAATTGTCTGTTTTTTTTGTTATGGAATTTCTGGTTATTTTATTTTATTCCAATGATCTGAATGTTGTGTGAAATGAACTGTAAATATCCTAGTGAGTAAATGTATGATGGTCTTTTCTGTTCTTTCAGGAGGAAACTGGTTCCCCTTAGCAGAAAGGTGGAGGCAAGAGAGAAAAGGAAAGAGGTAAGTACTTGGTTGAAAACAGTTCAGTAGTGTTTGGCCCTGGCATTCAACTGTTCTGCTCCAAGGAGTGTTGGCTAATAGACCATAAGGCATTGGCGACTCAAGAGTTCCTGTCAAAGGGTATGACTTACAAAAATCTGATGTCGTGATCTAAGCATGAGATCCATATTCTCTTGTTTTACAGGAAAAGGCCCTGATTGCTGCACAGCTTGATAACGCAATAGAGAAAGAACTGCTGGAGAGACTGAAACAAGGAACGGTAAATACATGATTATGTAGTGTCAATCACTCCACAATTTGTCACAACCTGAAGAATACTCTCAGACAAGGTAAAACTGCATGAGACAAATATGGTATGTACATAACAGGAGATTGAGTATTTATATTCATGTTCTATTTCTTTCAGTATGGCGACATCTACAACTTCCCCATCCATGCCTTTGATAAGGCACTGGAGCACCAGGATGAGGAGAGTGAGACTGACTCGGAGGAGGAGGAGGAGGAGGATGACGAGGTGACGACTGAGCAGGGCCCATATTCACAAAACCTTAAGGAGAAATGTCTTAACTGCCATTTGTTCCTTAACTATAGACTTATAAAGAAAGTTAAGCAAAGTTGCTATTTCTTATGTTTCTCCTTAAGCAAAAAGTTAAGAAATTAGATTCTTGAAAATAAAGTTATTGGATTTGTTCTTGGAAATGTTCTTAATTCCAAGATAGCTAAACCCTTGTCTTAAACTCAGGGCAGTGAGAGAAAAAGCTCATGAAAGCAATTGAACATCTTTAATTCACTCAAACTTCATCTGAAAGTTTCCGTATTGATTATTTTAACAGAACAGTAATCTCAGTATGAAATATGCTAACATGATTGTCATTGCAAGCTAAATCGGTTGACTAGCAACAAACATCTTAAGCTGGTTAAGAAATTCGTAAGAAGATATTTGAATGATTTTAAGAACTTCTCAATCTTAAGATATTGTTGAGGAATTGCACTTATGAACTATCTTATGAACTTAAGCTTAAGTTTTTGCATAAGTGTTTTGTGAATCTGGGCCCAGGTCCTTGGACTGCAAGTGATCCTTTCAGCACAACCAATAAGATGCCTCTTATTTATTGGGCAGGGTCTGGTGCGGGACATTAGCGCTGATCATAATGACACTATTGCTAAAATGAAACCCAAGTGGCAGGCCATCTGATGTATTTTAATCAAGTGAATGTGTTTGCAGGATGTTGGAAAGAAAGAATTTGTCGCTGAGGGTGAAATGGATGAGAGCGATCTCAGTGACTTTGAGGTAACTTAATAAATAAATAAAATCATGATCACTCACATTTTGACTAATATAGGGTATGATATTGCTTGTTATGCTATTCCAAGACTAAACATGTCTCCTTTGGAAGGACATGGACAATCTGAAGGCAGGCAGCGATGAACAGGAAGAATCCAGTGAAGAAGAGGACGAGTCTGAAGAAGACATGGAAGAGGAGACTGAGGCCTCAGGCTCCAAAGGGAAGTCAAAAGGAAAGATGCCCCTCAAAGGCACTGCATTCAGGAAGAAAAGGGCCTACGTGGAGATCGAGTATGAACAGGAGACTGAGCCTGTCCCCAAAAGCAAGGCAACATAGTCTTCCTCTGACATGGACTCTAGGCCTTTCTTAGTTTGGAAGGTTAACCTGCTTATGTTGTCTGGAAGGATTACTACTACTGGAATGCATCAAGCCTTTAGGTTCTTTGAGCTGTAAAGAATCTTGTGCCTAACGGGACTGTACTTCCAGCAACTTCTCAATGTATCACTCCCGGTGAAGATTTTATGAGATGGGGCTTGATCCCTGTTAACAATAAATGATTACATGGTGTATGACTTGGGCCAATTTGAAATGAGATAATTTAGACCCATGATTGCAATTTGCTTACTGTCTTAGTTTTTCACCTATTATGATTCCTCTTTTGCCCATTATTGTTCAAATTAATAAATCTCACAATGCTGAGTAGCCTGACAAGTGGAATCTCTTATGAATTGTAATGTCTTCGACCTGGCTGAGAAAACTTTGATAAAGAACGACTTACCAAATCTCCCCAGCCAGCTCTTAACCAGTGTTGACGTTTTATTAACAAATACAGACAGTGGATCCATATGACATACAGAACGGAATATGTCAGTACTGTATAATAGCACTTGGTCAGTCTTTCTCACATTGCCAGACTACAGAGGATGATCCAAGGGAGCTCAAGGTTGTCAGTCCTGCTCAATTAACCACATTCATTTTGATCATATCACTGTTCCAGATAGCCATAGAGATGTGGGCTTCATTTCCAATGGAGGAATGAACACTGTAAATATGTCCATATCTTCGTTATCTTTGGGCCATTGTGACTGTCTCTATGCATCTCAGAACAGAGGTGCTGGTGTGGCTGCTGTCGACATCCTTCAGAAGCGTCTGAAGAAAGAGTCAAAATAGTTACCATTCACACACCGAACAAAAATATAAACGCAACAATTTCAAAGATTGAGTTACAGTTCATATAATCAGTCAATTTAAATACATTCATTTGGCCCTAATCTAGGCATTTCACATGACTGGGAATATAGATTCATCTGTTGGTCACAGATACCTTTAAAAAAAGGGTAGGGGCGTGTCTCAGAAAACCAGTCAGTATCTGATGTGACCACCATTTGCCGCATGACATGACATCTCCTTCGCATAGAGTTGACCAGGCCGTTGATTGTGGCCTGTGGAATGTTGACCCACTCTTCAATGGCTGTGCGAAGTTGCTGGATATTGGCAGGAACTAGAACACGCTGTGGTACACATCGATCCAGAGCATCCCAAACATGCTCAATGGGTGACATGTCTGAGTATGCAGGCTATGGAAGAACTGGGACATTTTCAGCTTCCAGGAATTGTGTACAGATCCTTGTGACATGGGGCCGTGCATTATCATGCTGAAACATGAGGTGATGGCAGTGGATGAATGGCACGGAAATGGGCCTCAGGATCTCGTCACGGTATTTACATCAATAAAATACAATTGTGTTTGTTGTCCATAGCTTATGCCTGCCCATACCATAACCCCACCATGAGGCAATCTGTTCACAACGTTGACATCAGCAAACCGTTCGCCCACACAACGTCATACACGTTGTCTGCAGTTGTGAGACCAGTTGGACACACTGCCACATTTTCTAAAACAACGCTGGAGGTGGCTTATGGTAGAGAAATTAACATTGAATTCTCTGGTAACAGCTCTGGTGGACATTACTGCAGTCAGCAAGCCAATTGCACGCTCCCTCAAAAACGTGTAACAAAACTGCACTTTTTAGAGAGGCCTTTTGTTGTCGCCAGCACAAGGTGCATCTATGTAATGATCATGCTGTTTAATCAGTTTCTTGATATGCCACACCTGTCAGGTGGATGGATTATCTTGGCAAATGAGAAATGTTCACTAACAGGGATGTAAACAAATGAGTCCACAACATTTGAGAGAAATAAGCTTTTTGTGCGAATGGAACATTTCTGGGATCGGTTATTTCAGCTCATGAAACATGGGACCAACACTTTACAAGTTGCATTTATGTTTTTGTTCTGTGTAAGTGGCAATAACTTGCCCCTTTATCTCAGAAGTTCTGAGCTCAGATTTACTTGAAATACATTCATTTATTACTAGTTACTCTAGAGCAGGGGTACAATTTGAGAAGGTCCAGTCCTAGGCGGAAAAGGTGAGGATAGTCATTTTTCAGTGTACTAACAAACCCCCACCTTGCAACACATTTAACCCCAAACTGTTAGAGGTCGTGTTGGCAGAGAAAATGTATACATTTTAAAGCAAATTTCCTGCAATTCCACACATTTTACAAATGTTACCCGAATGACTCAACAAAATCAAAATGGGGGCCCCCTTGGGGTTGAGGCCTGTGAACACGTAATCTGTGAACACACACACACGTGTGTATATACAGTGGTGTGGTCTACTTCACTTTGTCAGGCAGGTCCTATTTAAGTGATTCCTAGATTGAGAACAGGTGTGGCAGTAATCAGGACTGGGTATGGCTAGAGGAATTGATCTCAGGTGTGATAAACCACAGTTGAGTTGTGTTATAACGGAGGGGGACAAACACTTTTTCACAAAGGGCCATGTAGGTTTGGATTTTGTTTTCCCTTAATAACAACCTTCATTTCAAAACTGCATTTTGTGTTTACTTGTTATCTTTGACTAATATTTAAATTTGTTTGATGATCTAAAACATTTAAGTATGACAAACATGCAAACAAATAAGAAATCAGGAAGGGGGCAAACACTTTTTCAAACCACTGTATGTGTGTGTGTATATATATATACAGTGAGGGGAAAAAAGTATTTGATCCCCTGCTGATTTTGTACGTTTGCCCACTGACAAAGAAATTATCAGTCTTAAAATGCAAATAAATGTATAACATTTTTGACATGCGTTTTTCTGGATTTTGTTGTTGTTATTCTGTCTCTCACTGTTCAAATAAACCTACCATTAAAATTATAGACTGATCATGTCTTTGTCAGTGGGCAAACGTACAAAATCAGCAGGGGATCAAATACTTTTTCCCTCACTGTATATATTTATACACATACATGCATACACACACTACCAGTCAAAAGTTTGGACACCTACTCATTCAAGGGTTTTTCTTAATTGGAACAATTTTTTTACATTGTAGAATAATAGTGACAACATCAAAACTATTAAATAACACATATGGAATCATGTAGTAACCAAAAAAGTGTTAAACAAATACTAATATATTTTATATCTGAGATTCTTCAAATAGCCACCCTTTGCCTTGACAGCTTTGCACACTCTTGGCATTCTCTCAACCAGCTTCATAAGGTAGTCACCTGGAATGCATTTCAATTAACAGGTGTGCCTTGTTAAAAGTTAATTTGTGGAATTTCTTTCCCTCTTAATGCGTTTGAGCCAATCAGTTGTGTTGTGACAAGGTAGGGGGGCATACAGAAGATAGCCCTATTATTTGGTAAAAGACCAAGTCCATATTATGGCAAGAACAGCTCAAATAAGCAAAGAGAAACAACAGTCCATCATTACTTTAAGACATGAAGATCGGTCAATCCGGAAAATTTCAAGAACTTAGAAAGTTTCTAAAAGTGCAGTCGCAAAAACCATCAAGCACTATGATGAAACTGGCTCTCGTGAGGACCGCCACAGGAATGGAAGACCCAGAGTTACCTCTGCTGTATAGGATAAGTTCATTCGAGTTATCAGCCTCAGAAATGCAGCCCAAATAAATGCTTCACAGAGTTCAAGTAACAGACACAACTCAACATCAACTGTTCAGAGGGGACTGCGTAAATCAGGCCTTCATGGTCGAATTGCTGCAAAGAAACCACTACTAAAGGACACCAATAAGAAGAAGAGACTTGCTTGGGCCAAGAAACACAAGCAATGGACATTAGAACGGTGGAAATGTGTCCTTTTGTCTGGAGTCCAAATTTGAGATTTTTGGTTCCAACCGCTGTGTCTTTGTGAGACACGGTGTGGGTGAACGAATCATCTCCGCATGTGTATTTCCCACCGTAAAGCATGGAGGAGGTGGTGTTATGGTGTGTGGGTGCTTTGCTGGTGACAGTGTCTGTGATTTATTTAGAATTCAAGGCACACTTAACCAGCATGGCTACCACAGCATTCTGCAACGATACGCCATCCCATCTGGTTTGGTCTTAGTGGGACTATCAATTGTTTTTCAACAGGACAATGACCCAACACACCTCCAGGCTGTGTAAGGGCTATTTTACCAAGAAGGAGAGTGATGGAGTGCTGCATCAGATGACCTGGCCTCCACAATCCCCCGACCTCAACCAAATGGAGATGGTTTGGGATGAGTCGGACCGCAGAGTGAAGGAAAAGCAGCCACAAGTCCTCAGCATATGTGGGAACTCCTTCAGGATTGTTGGAAAAGCATTCCAGGTGAAGCTGGTTGAGAGAATGCCAAGAGTGTGCAAAGCTAACATCAAGGCAAAGGGTGGCTAATTGAAGAATCTCAAATATAAAATATATTTAGACTTGTTTAACACTTTTTGGGTTACTACATGATTCCATATGTGTTATTTCATAGTTTTGATGTCTTCACTATTATTCTACAATATAGAAAATAGTAAAAATTAAGAAAAACCCTTGAATGAGTAGGTGTTCTAAAACTTTTCACCGGTAGTGTGTAATATATATATATATAAAAATAATTACACACACACACACACAGTGCATTCGGAAAGTATTCAGACCCCCTTGACTTTTTCCACATTTTGTTATGCTACAGCCTTATTCTAAAATGGATTAAATAAAACAAATAATCTCAATCTACATAGACATTTTTGCAAATGTATTACATAAAAACATAAATTCCTTATTTACATAAGTATGCAGACCCTTTGCTATGAGACTTGAAATTGAGGTCTGGTGTATCCTGTTTCAATTGATCATCCTTCATTTGAGTCCACCTGTGGTAAACTCAATTGATTGGACATGATTTGGAAAGGCACACACCTGTCTATATAAAAAGGTCCCACAGTTGACAGTGCATATCAGAGTAAAAACCAAGCCATGAGGTCGAAGGAATTTTCCGTAGAGCTCCGAGACAAGATTGTATCGAGGCACAGATCTTGGGAAGGGTACCATTTCTGCAGCATTGAAGGTCTCCAAGAACACAGTGGCTTCCATCATTCTTAAATGGAAGAAGTTTGGAACCACCAAGACTCTTCCTAGAGCTGGCCGCCCGGTGGTCAGGGAGGTGACCAAGAACCTGATGGTCACTCTGACAGAGCTCCAGTTCCTCTATGGAGATGGGAGAACCTTCCAGAATGACAACCATCTCTGCAGCACTCCCCAATCAGGCATTTATGGTAGAGTGGCCAGATGGAAGCCACTCCTCAGTAAAATGCACATGACAGCCTGTTTGGAGTTTGCCAAAAGGCACCCAAAGACTCTCAGTCCATGAGAAACAAGATTCTCTGGTCTGATGAAACCAAGATTGAACTCTTTGGCCTGACAAGCGTCACGTCTGGAGGAAACCTGACACCATCCCTACGGTGAAACATGGTGGTGGCAGCATCATGCTGTGGGGATGTTTTTCAGCGGCAGGGACTGGGAGACTATTCAGGATCGAGGGAAAGATGAACGGAGCAAAGTACAGAGAGATCCTTGATGAAAACCTGTTCCAGAGCACTCAGGACCTCAGACTGGGGGCGAAGGTTCACCTTCCAACAGGACAACGACCCTAAGCACACAGCCAAGACAATGCAGGAGTGGCTTCGGGACAAGTCTCTGAATGTCCTTGAGTGGCCCAGCCAGAGCCCGGACTTGAAACCGATAGAACATCTGTGGAGAGACCTGAAAATAGCTGTGCAGCGCCGCTCCCCATCCAACCTGACAGAGCTTGAGAGGATCTGCAGAGAAGAAACTCCCCAAATACAGGTGTGCCAAGCTTGTAGCGTCATACCCAAGAAGACTTGAGGCTATAATCGCTGCCAAAGGTGCTTCAACAAAATACTGAGTAAAGGGTCTGAATACTTTTGTAAATGTGATATTTCAGTTATTTATTTATTTATAAATGTGCAAATAAAAAATTACGGTTTTTGCTTCGTCATTATGGGGTATTGTGTGTAGATTGATGGGGGGGGGGGGAAACAATTGAATCCATTTTATAGTAAGGTTGTAACGTAACAACATTTGGAAAAAGTCTGTATATGCAGGACTCGTGGTCTGTATTGACCCCGTTCTAGGTCCAGATCTGTTGAGTATGGCTGCTCTAGGGGCTCGCATCAATCCGTATCGCTGAAAATCGTCTTTCTAGCGCGATTGAAATGTAAAGGTAATTTCCGATTGAGCTGACGTATGTAGCGTTTACTGTGAATGCGGTCTCCGCTAGCACTGAATTATTGCCTTTAAATACCTATCGCACAGTAGCGCAGCTCTTCAGCAGTACGGATTGAATCGAGCCCTAAATCATTTTCTGATTATTGCCAAGTTGTATTCAACAGGTAATATACTTGGAGTTTAATAGCCGACCGAAGACCCTGCGTGGTACAGTGATGCTCTTTTATGCATACCTTGAGCTTGCCCTGGGTGCAGTGGTCCAGCAGCAGCAGGCAATGAGTGGCCTTGGTAACAAGCTCCTCTCTCACTGCTGGGGGTAGGGACTCTGTGGACAGGTCACACAGTAGCCTCAACAGACTCTGCACCAGAGCGGAAAGACGGCACTCCATTCTGCAAGTCCAGAGGACACAAACACCCAGCATGACCACAAAGACAGAGATGGGATTTTGATTATAGTCTAATTTATTTGCTGGGAGTAATGACAACCTTGGCCAGGCGATGAGCAGGGTCTTTTCTAAAGCATCCAGGATAGCCAGTCTAGTCTGTTCTTCAGGACCGTCTGAGATCTCTAGATACCCAATGATTACTCTTTCCAATCGTTTCAGATGGCGAACAATGACGATACCCATCCTAACAAAAGAAAAGCACAATCCAAAAGTTAATTTCCTAAATGTCTTACATTTAAAATGGCATTTACCAGATAACCAGGAGATCACAACAAATGCAATTCCTCACCGAGACTCATATAGCGTAATAATAGTGTAGTGAAAATCCATTCAATTGTTAGCAAGAGGAGATAGACCTCACTTTTCAATTAAGTGTCCCAGACACTTGGCATAGACACTCCGAAGTACAAGTTTATGTTCCATCTCCATATGGATGAGGGTCAGCCGCAGCACCTCGTCATAACGGTTAGGCTTCCTGGGGAGCCCAGTGCAAGCAGGGTCTTTCTCCAACATAGGCAGAAGGTCTATCAGGCATGGAAGGACCACCTGAGACACAGAGGGGGAGATACAGTATATGGAGCAATAGAATACCATGATGTGAATGTGGCTACTTGGTCACCAGTTCAACTCGTACAGACAAAGTGTGTTGTTATGAGATGTTTGTCGGTGCATTGTATATACAAAAGTTGTTAATGCCATTGAAAGCCACAGCATTACCTCAATAAGCTGAGGCTCAGACGTGTAGAGGTGGTTGAAGAGGGCATGGTAGAGCACCTGGGCCCTGTTGTAATGACAGAGATCGGCAGCAGGCTGAAAGGGGGAGACGTTCATTGAACAGATACACAAAACACCACACATACTTTTACAACGCATTACTGTAGATGATGTCATTATCTAAGAATTCTGAGAGATAAAGTACATCTCACCACATTGAGGACAATGTGATTCAGGCAGCGCACTCCCAGCACTTGGTTGTCAGTGCAGTAATCATCTGACATCAGCAGTGAAGGGGGGAAAACCTTCTCCAGATAGTCTGTTAACCACGGCCGGCCCACCTGCATGAGGATCCAGGCAAATACATGCTTAGTGGCCTGGTTTCGCTTCCAGCTGTCCCTGCAAGACATCATAAACGACACATTTAGAATATTCACAGCATGATGCACGGAATGAAAAAATAATCCAGATGATGTTCAGTTTTGATGTCGGGTATGTTGATGAAATATGGTCAACAACGCAGAGATTCAAGTGTTTGAAATGTTCTTAATCATTTCAATTTGCACTATTTACTAGTAAGCTATTTTGACGGAACTCACCTTTTTAAATCCGCCTGCAGGATTTCCAAGATGGAGCCAAGGACTCCTGGTTGGCGCTCGGTGTTGTTCTTCCCACACAGAAGCTGTGAGGTGGTCTCCCAGTCCCCTGCCTGGACCACTGAGGCCAGGAGGTCAGATGCAGCTGTTCTGGAGCCCTTACTGGTCCATGCCTGCTCTTGCATATGGGTCACCGCAAACACACACAAGATGGGGGCAAGTGGACCTGTGAGGAAGACCCAGGAGGTGGCTTGGCAGTGGCTGGAAACAGCCTCTCCTCCATTCCCATGTCTTTGTACCAGGGCTAAGACTACTGAACTCACGGCACGGGCTCTGGCAGGGATGGCCTCATAGGAACTATCTGGTAATGCACCACTGTCATTCTCACACAATGGCAAAGCAGCATACAGTGTCAGGGAGCTCACAAAGTCTACATACTCCCTTGTCATGTCTGTGCTCTGATTGCTGCAACACTCAGAGAAGAGCCAGTGTCTGTCCCCCAGTCTGAATAGTTGCTCCACAATATGAAGGATCGCTTCACTCTGTTCTGTGGTGAGCCCTGGTGCCTTGAGTTTCTCCTGGACATGAAGCAGGACCTCAGCCACTGGACGGGAGAGCAGCGCATCAGGTCCTGCTGGGGAATGTCCCTCTTCAGGAGCCATACCTAGTTGTAGGTCTTGCAGCATATGGGACAAGTCCATCTTTGAAATATCTGTTTGATGATGTAATTATGTTGTTTTTGTGACAACAAAACCTCGATGAAGGAAAATAATGGCACAGCTCACAATTCTGACCCAGCACAAAAGCCTACCTTATGTAGATTTGTGCTATCTAAAAATAGCATGCTAAACCGTAAACATCATGGTTGAACCTGTCAACTACCTACTAGCTAGCTAGCTAAAGTTAGCCGTTTACGATGGTACCACATGGACTAACAAGCTAGCTAGCTACCTAGACATACTATAAAACCTGCGTTAAACTAAAGCTAGCCACCGTTGAATGATCTTTAAATTGCGTGATACTTTATAGCCATTCGTATTCATAGCTGTAGTATTGATAGCAGAGGGATTTTTGATTTGCAGTTCATGATTTGACGGAGAGAGACCGCGGCAATATACTTCCTGGAATGAGAGAGGTAGGCGGAGCTTCTTTTGTTCATGCTATCAAAGATAGAACGCACCCGATTGTTGTCTAATCGGGTGTAGAACAATGAGACAGATATTTCACCGGATGTATAAATGTGGAGCATCCGCTTAGCGTTTCCACTCACGACCAAATATGGTCGTGAGAGGAAGCCCAATGGTCGGCAGTGGGAGAAGATAGAACGAGGTTTGGGCCGACATTCTGCACATTTTCTCATCGATGAAACATTTGATCTTAATACAGTTTTCTGTTCCCAAAACTAGAATATGTTATGAACAGAGTGGACTATGTTTTGTAGACTTTACAGTTTGCAAAAGTTTTAAAAAATCGCGTTGTTTAGAAGGAGTGCAAAGGCGAATTGAGTTATTGCACACGCGCACTCCACAGAGTAGGGGTTCCTTAACGGAAATATGCAGATGCATGCTAGAACGCGCCAGTTCATCTGCCACCCTTATTGCTAATATTTTTTTTTACAAATTCTTTGAATAATGTGGCTAATACAGATATACTTTATACTGACATTTCTGACGACTTTCCAATTTTCCACTTCTCTTTGCAGCTGGAAATGAACAGATCGGAATGATTAATAGCATTCAATGTAGAATTTTTAACAAAAATAATTGTTAGCACTTTAAGATGTTGATTGATGATATTTCATGGGATTTCTTTTATAATCAGGCCGATGTGGAGTCTGCTTACCAGACTTTTCTCACATCTTTCAATTCTGTATTTTACCACTGCTTTCCCTTAGTTACACCAGGTAAGAGAGTAGCAGAAGGGTTCTGGAAACCTTGGTTTACAAAAATCCTCAGTTACTTCGGATATCCCCCAAAATATATTTTACTGACAAATTCCAAGAATCCTTAAATAATATAAAGTCGACTTTGAAAATCATCAATCAACTGTTGAATAAGAAAAAGTCATCTACAACTATCCCATCTCAATTTATGTTATTTCATGTGAATTTAATAATTTCTTTTGTGAATGTGGGTTCCTCTCAGTCAAATAAATGTTTGAAAACTGATGGAAATCCCTTGGATTACTAAAGTAATGATGGACTGTCGTTTCCCTTTGCTTATTTGAGCTGCTCTTGCCATAATATGGACTTGCCATAATAAAACACATTAAGAAGGAAAGAAATTCCACCAATTAACTTTTAAGAAGGCACACCTGTTAATTGAAATGCATTCCAGGTGACTACCTTATGAAGCTGGTTGAAAGAATGCCAAGAGTTTGCAAAGCTGTCATCAAGACAAAGGGTGGCTATTTGAAGAATCTCAAATATAAAATATATTTGTATTTGTTTAACACTTTTTTGGTTATTACATGATTCCATATGTGTTATTTCAAAGTTTTGATGTCTTCACTATTATTCTACATTGTAGAAAATAGTAAAAATAAAGAAAAACACTTGAATGAGTAGGTGTTCTAAAACTTTTGACCCGTAGTGTATATAAGACAAGACACTGTGATAACCTTCGCCCTCCCCACTGCCGCACCTCACATAGTCTATTCAAATCAAATCAAATCAAATCAAATTGTATTGGTCACATGCGCCGAATACAACAGGTGCAGACAGTACAGTGAAATGCTTACTTACAGCCCTTAACCAACAGTGCATTTATTTTAAACAAAAAAAGTAAGAATAAAACAACAACAACAAAAAGTGTTGAGAAAAAAAGAGCAGAAGTAAAATAAAGTGACAGTAGGGAGGCTATATATACAGGCTATATATACAGGGGGGTACCGTTGCAGAGTCAATGTGCGGGGGCACCGGCTAGTTGAGGTAGTTGAGGTAGTTGAGGTAATATGTACAGATACAGAGGTATCATACTCTGAAATTCTTATCTTCACATTGCGAAAACCTTATCATCACCTCAATAACTTCAAGCGAAGACTGGGGGTCAGCCTGATCAACCAAACTACCCAATAATCTCCTCCATGTAGCCTAACTGTCACAATCACATGCACACACACCTAATCAAACATGGTTTTTTCTTGTATACTGAGTATATCGTGTACAATTATAATTGATATGCTTTGTTTAACTGATTGAACAAAGTTTGTTGTACTTATATTTGTGGTGTGGTTTTCATATAAGCCCTTTTGGGCTTCCAACCTCACCTGCACACTATTTTTACCAGTTTTTTATCTGTACTGTTTTGTCTTTCACTTCTTTAATTTGGTGCGAATAAATAAAAACTAAAAACGGTTCTCGCTAGCTCGTGCTTGGCTCTGCCCACCTCCTTGCTTGTTCTGCCCACTATGACTAATTTGTTCCCATTGGAAACGACAGGCTATGGTCTATCTTGGTTTAGTTATAAAATCTTTGTTGCTAATCCATTTTTAGGATTATTCAGCATTTTAAAAATCATGTCAACAGTAACATCTGTTAATAACTCTGTTGCCATTCCACAATAATCTTCAACCTAGCATTTCTGCTTTCCACAATCCGAGTCATGTTGATAACCTTTCCAATGAAAGCTATGAAGTCCATTTAATATACTATCAAAGTGTCCTTTGGCACAGCACATTTATGGGAGCAAGATTTCTGAACATGCCTTGAAACCAGTAGAAGCACCAGTTCTGACAGTAGGTCCAATTACTACGGGAGCAGCCATGGTAGCTCCATCAGTCCACCTAGTAGTTCCACCAATCTGTTTTACAGTCTCTGCATATGAGACATCATGTTACATCATGACTGATCCTATATCTCTGAGCCTCTCTAGCCTCTCTCGATAGAAGCATTTAGCTACCGAAACTCAATTGGAAATGTAAATGGTCAAATGATAAATCAATATCATGTTTGCAATTCCTTTTCCTAAATGTGTTTGCATTGTTTGTGAATTCTAATTGAAATGCAAAAAAAGATATTGCACTATCATTTTCATGATTGACTCTGCGTAATGCTTGCCAATTTGAAAAATAAATAGCAAATTGTGTAATATTCCATTTCCATGGTACTATCCAATACAACACTGACACATTCAGTTGGTAGAGCATGGAGCTTGCAATGCCACTGTTGTGGGTTCAATTCCCATGGGAGACCATTATGAAAATGTATGCACTCACCACTGTAAGTCGCTCTGGATATGCGTGTCTGCTACGTGACTAAAATGTTACCTGACCATTGCTCTAGCTAGCTTTCGCCAGGTTAGTTATAATAAGGGCTACCAACAAGTAACGTTAGCTAGCTAGCTGCCTTCCTTCAATACTTGGTGGCTTTACTGACAGACAAGACAGGGAGCTTATATTAAAAGCCATCGAGCTATAAGCTAAAGCTAGCTATCATACCAAACTTGTGTGTGTGTACACTACAAGGATGCTTCAAGACTATCCAGCCCAAGCTAACGTGGCTTATACCAAGTCTTGACCATCACCCTCTCTCTGCCATCAGGTGAATTAATTATCAACAATTTTCTATATGGTGTAGGTAACTAGCTATAGGTGGTCATTTCCACCACCTAATAATGGCAGAGATGAAAGGAATTAAGATGGATCGTTCAATCATTCTCATTGGTAATTAGTGAGTATAGGTGAGTACAGTGGGGAGAACAAGTATTTGATACACTAACCATTTTGCAGGTTTTCCTACTTACAAAGCATGTAGAGGTCTGTAATTTTTATCATAGATCCAGAAAATCACATTGTATGATTTTTAAGTAATTAATTAGCATTTTATTGCATGACACAAGTATTTGATCACCTACCAACCAGTAAGAATTCCGGCTCTCACAGACCTATTAGTTTTTCTTTAAGAAGCCGTCCTGTTCTCCACTCATTACCTGTATTAACTGCACATGTTTGAACTCGTTACCTGTATAAAAGACACCTGTCCACACACTCAATCAAACAGACTCCAACCTCTCCACAATGGCCAAGACCAGAGAGCTGTGTAAGGACATCAGGGATAAAATTGTAGACCTGCACAAGGCTGGGATGGGCTACAGGACAATAGGCAAGCAGCTTGGTGAGAAGGCAACAACTGTTGGCGCAATTATTAGAAAATGGAAGAAGTTCAAGATGACGGTCAATCACCCTCGGTCTGGGGCACCATGCAAGATCTCACCTCGTGGGGCATCAATGATCATGAGGAAGGTGAGGGATCAGCCCAGAACTACACGGCAGGACCTAGTCAATGACCTGAAGAGAGCTGGGACCACAGTCTCAAAGAAAACCATGAGTAACACACTACGCCGTCATGGATTAAAATCCTGCAGCGCACGCAAGGTCCCCCTGCTCAAGCCAGCGCATGTCCAGGCCCGTCTGAAGTTTGCCAATGACCATCTGGATGATCCAGAGGAGGACTGGGAGAAGGTCATGTGGTCTGATGAGACAAAAATAGAGCTTTTTGGTCTAAACTCCACTCGCCGTGTTTGGAGGAAGAAGAAGGATGAGTACAACCCCAAGAACACCATCCCAACCATGAAGCATGGAGGTGGAAACATCATTCTTTGGGGATGCTTTTCTGCAAAGGGGACAGGACGACTGCACCGTATTGAGGGGAGGATGGATGAGGCCATGTATCGCGAGATCTTGGCCAACAACCTCCTTCCCTCAGTAAGAGCATTGAAGATGGGTCGTGGCTGGGTCTTCCAGCATGACAACGACCCGAAACACACAGCCAGGGCAACTAAGGAGTGGCTCCGTAAGAAGCATCTCAAGGTCCTGGAGTGACCTAGCCAGTCTCCAGACCTGAACCCAATAGAAAATCTTTGGAGGGAGCTGAAAGTCCATATTGCCCAGCGACAGCCCCGAAACCTGAAGGATCTGGAGAAGGTCTGTATGGAGGAGTGTGCCAAAATCCCTGCTGCAGTGTGTGCAAACCTGGTCAAGACCTACAGGAAACGTATGATCTCTGTAATTGCAAACAAAGGTTTCTGTACCAAATATTAAGTTCTGCTTTTCTGATGTATCAAATACTTATGTCATGCAATAAAATGCAAATTAATTACTTAAAAATCATACAATGTGATTTTCTGGATTTTTGTTTTAGATTCCGTCTCTCACAGTTGAAGTGTACCTATGATAAACATTACAGACCTCTACATGCTTTGTAAGTAGGAAAACCTGCAAAATT